ATAACAAAATTATGCAGGCAACAAGCAGAAGTCATACAAAATCATGATAATGAGAATGTTCGCAACATCGGACAAGGCGAAGCCCGACACAGAAAGTATAAGAGGCTTAAACTTGGTGGCGGTCAGGCATACGACCGTTCAAGTGACTAGACTGCCGTGGTAGCTAATACTACTAGGATATATATGTATATATATGAAAGGGCATAATCTGCTCTACCTAGCCTGGACTGACAGAGGCTGTGTATGTATTGTACATAGAAGTAAGGATTAAGTGTGTATTTGTAAATGTATGTTAATACAGACAATAGACTTCATACAGACTGACTGACAGATGACAGAACCGACCTCTCGTCAGAGAGGGCGCTACACATGGACAGGACGGTAACTTTCATTGAAAAGAAATATCTGGTCATGAGCCCCAGCTGGGGCTCGACACCAAGACAAACAGACTGACCGACCGTCAGTTGTAACATGACCCTTGCCCTTGAATTTGATTTGTTAGCGCGCGTGATGGTGAAAAGAAATCTGAAGAGTGTGCGTTGCAGAAATGCGTGATAATGTAGCTGCAAGACCTACACGTAGATGTGGCCCTGTTTTCAGAGACACATGTGAAACCTCACGAGAGGTCCTATATTCCAAATTACTACTTTTATAGAATCGACCGCCAGGACGGGAGAAATGGCGGAACTGCTGTTGCAGTAAGAAAAGGCATTCCCCACAACCATGTAGACCTACCACCCCTTGTTTCAGTAGAAGCGACAGGGGTCTGCATACCAATTGGTAATAGCGAAGTGCTGCTTGCAGCTGTTTCTAAATCTCCAGGCAATGCCTGGAGTGATGCTGACATCACTGAGCTCTTAAGCTTCAGACGAAAGTCTATTTTGGCAGGTGAATTGAATGCTAAGAACCCATTTTGGAATAGTAGAGTTTCAAACACCTCAGGTTTGAAACTTATGGATTTATTTGATATGGGCAATTTCGAAATCTCAGCTCCACAGTGCCCTACTCATTATTCCCCTGCGGGAAATGGTGACGTGCTAGACATTGTGGTTCACAAAAATATCAGAATGTCAGAGGTCGTCGTCTGTGATATTTTGGATTCAGATCACCTACCAATAGTATTTCACATACTGGATCACGTTAAAATTAGCAACCTTTCGGAACCCATTGAAAAATTTACAGATTGGGAGCGGTTTCAAAGCCTCGCTTCTGAACTAATATCACCTAAAC